CTTTGTGCTTACTGTTTTCAGTTTTGGTTTCAGGTACTTCCACTAGCATTGGGAAGGGCTCGGGATGATCGCATGGCACACACCACAGTCTTCAGCCTGGGAGCTAGACTCTGATATTTGGATATGAGATTTGATTTGAGACAGATACTATGATGTTTATGATACACGATTATGATTTTACTTATGATTTTGGATGGTTGATGACTTTAATAATGTTTTGAAAACGAAATTTTTGGGTTGTGTTTTTGGGACGTTACAAGTTGTGTTATATGTCGACATATTATGTGGGATGGGTTGAGGTGATACTGCTCCGTGCGGTAACCAACAAACCCGAGAGCATTCCAGATATGAGCTGAGAGCCAGGTGGGGCATGCCAGACTCGTACTGTGGGCTCGGGAGCATTCCAGATACGAGCTGAGGGAGACTTGTATTGTGGGCTCGGTGGCAATCCAGATGTGAGCTGTGGGCCGGAGGCATCCAGACTCACACTGTGGGCCCAGGGGTAATCAAGTCTGTAAAGCTGTGGACCCATTGCATGCTGTTCAGTTTGTTATGTTATGATATTGCTGTTATTGTTATGTAGACTGTATGTGTATCGGTATTCTGGGGGTACCTCACTAAGCCTTCGAGCTTATATTTATCGATTATTTTTTCAGGTACATCTGATGATTGCAATAAGGCAAGGGCTTGATCGTATAGCTCCTCACTTTTCATGATTTTTTTCTGGGATACTCTGATATGAAACTATTTTGAAAACATATTGTAATAACTAATGGGTTCTGAATTGTTTAAACGTTTTAAATTGGCTTGAATTTTACGGGTGTTACACTTATTTTAGATTTTCTTGTAATGACATTGATGAAAATGTTGGTTACGTTTGTAATATTAACAATGTTAATTGTGAATTTGATTCTTATGATATCGCTTGTTAACCAAGTGAAAAAAAATTCTCATCACCAAGTTTCAAGTTAGACAGAAACTTGGAGTCAAACAATTCAAATTGTGTGATGCATGAGAATCTTGGTCATTGGGAAAATTATGAATAATTCATTGATTACATGTTTATATGAGTCAAGTGAAAGACTAATGAATCTAGTACATGTTGATATGGACTATTCAAATTACCACGAGGGATAACATAACCCCGCCCGATGGCGGTGGTCATCTTGTCACCACGGTGTTAATGAGTGTCCACGCTGGCAATAACAGGCAAAACGGCCCCATACACATCACTCTAAGGTTATGAGTGGGATGTAGGGGTGGGTAGGGTATTTCATATTTTAGTGTCTTGGGGTGTACCTCATTGCATCACATGTGCGTTCGGTGTGTGTTTCATTTGGGGTAGTTATTTTTTTAAATGTGTTTGCAATATTTGGCACTTTTTTAGTGTTCGTTTTGCGGGGTTACTTGTGTGGGTTGCCTTGTGGCGTGTGTTTCTTTGTAGGTTTTTTTTTGCTGTGCAGGTTCTTCTGCAAATTGGTGATGTCTCTATTGCTTCTTTTCTTGGCTAGCCGGTGATTTCTTTGCGGTTAAGGGGGCTTGGTTGGGTGTTTGCTTTTGTTTTAACAGATTATATGTGCTGTTGTTTGGCTCCCTCGTTTTGTTTGTCAAATTTTGCCCTCTTCTTTTGGGTTTGCCCCTTTTGCCTTTTAGTGGTTATTTATGTTGGTTTGGGGCTGGTGGTGCTTGTGTTGCCTTTGGCTTGTGTATGGTTGGTGCCGAACCTTTTTTTCCCTTCCTTTGGTTTGGTGTTTGTACTCGTGTTTTTGTGAACTTACAATCTTTTCAACTCATTTGACTTGTTAATATAAATAAATATAGCTTTAATCGACGTGTTTCTAGTAAATGATGGTACACAATTCCAAGTCCTTTTTTTCTCTTATTAGAAGTTTGTGCTTGATGAAGACATTCATTTAAAAGTCGTTTTCCATTAAACGTGCCAAGTTAAAACACACATTAAAAGTCATTATAATGTGCTACTTTTCGAGTTCGTCGACTTCAAACTCATCATAAAAGCGAATTTTGGCTTTTCCAAACACCAAAGTCCAAATATATACACTTGTTGGGTCTCGTATAAAAGTGATCATAATCATTTCCCTTATATTTATATAGTATCTTTTAAACACCATTGATTTTTGGTCAATAAATTCACCATTAATACGTGAAATAAGTTTGTGCCCATATCCTCGACCATAAAATCATAAATCCTCTCCAATAATTCAAATATCATTCTGCAAGTTAACCTTGAAATCATGCAGTTCTTCTATCTTCTTCATCACTGCCCCTACCACAACATTCCTCCATAATGGCGATTTCCTCAGTTTTCAAACTTACTCTCTTCCTTATCATCACCTCCACCGCAACCTCCTCCGGCGACACCATAACCACCACCTGCACCGCCATCCACCAACAAATCTCCACCATCTCCAAATGCAATTATATAAAAACAAACCCCGGGTGTGACCCAAACGGATACATCAATTACCTACAAATCTTCTACTGTAATTTTTCACAGTTTCCTCAACTGGGTTTCATTCTGCTACTTCTATGGCTCGTTGTTCTGTTCTATATTTTAAGCAACACCGCGTCGGAATACTTCTGCCCTGCAGTCGAACACTTGTCCAAAACGCTCAATCTCTCCCCTGCAATCGCCGGGACCACTTTGCTCCCACTAGGAAACGGGTCACCGGATGTTTTCTCTAGCATAATCGCCTTCACCGGAACCAGCGATGGCGGAGAGATCGGTCTTAACAGCATCTTAGGTGGGGGGATTTTCGTTTCCACCGTTGTCGTCGGTGTTATCAGCATATTAATCACATATCATCGGAAAGTCGTCATCCTTGATAGACCCAATTTCATCAGAGACGTTGTTTTTCTTCTACTCACACTCTCCAATCTCCTTGCAATCATCATCATCGGAAAAATCACCTTATGGGCGTCACTTCTTTTCGTTTCCACTTACATTATTTACATCTTACTCGTCTCTTACATGCATTTCAACACCATGAAAAAACACAAAACAGTACTTAATGCTGTTGATAAAGATCAGGACACACGAGTGCCATTATTGTGTTCTGTTGACGAAGAAAACGTTCTACATACTACAGAAAGACATGTACCCTGCGAAGAACAAGCTGTACCCAACATGCAAAAAAGCTATATCGGCACATTTTTCTATGTAATTAACGTGCCATTTGACTTGCCCAGAAGGCTTACAATACCAATGATAACAAAAGAGAGATGGTCCAAACCACTTCTTGTGATTTCAGCGACATTAGCACCATTAATGGTGGCTCTAATTTGGAACACACAAGAGGAAATACTGGGCTCAAATTCTAGCATGGTGATATACTTTGTTGCAGGGTCAACTGGAATAGTTTTAGGAACATGTACATTTGCATTCACAAGTAGTAGAAACCCACCAGAAAAGTGTTTGGTTCTTTGGTATGCACTAGGGTTCCTAATTAGTGTCACCTGGACGTACATAACTGCTGATGAATTAGTCTCTTTGTTAGAATGCTTAGGGAACATAATAGGAATAAGCCCTTCAGTTATAGGACTCACTATTCTAGCTTGGGGGAACTCCATTGGTGATCTTACAGCTAATGTGGCTATGGCTATGTATGGTGGAGCAGATGGGACACAGATTGCCATGTCAGGGTGTTATGCTGGACCTTTGTTTAATGTTCTTATTGGTTTAGGGTTATCGTTTGTTCTTGTTACAAGGTCAAATTATCCTGCTTCATATCTCATTCCAGAAGACCCTGATCTGTGTGAAACTATCGGGTTTCTGATGATTGGGTTGCTTTGGGCTCTTGCGATTTTGCCAAAAAGAGAGATGCGACTTGATTATACACTCGGAGGTGGACTCTTGGTGATATACTTGTGTTTTTTGTCCATAAAGATTGCTAGGGCTTTTGGATTACTCAGTGTTTAATTATAAGTAACAATATCATGTAATCATTAGATAATTTTATTTGTATCTTGTAGTTAAGTGTAATGCACAATCTAATGAATGCAATGTGAATTAGGAAGGTTTGTTGTATGCTTTTTGAATATATTTTGAGCAACTTTTACCTATTTTGACATTTTCTTTTTAAACTTAACTACAGTTTTCTTTAGATATTTTAATCTAACATATAATATTATTTAATATATTAAAATAGTATCACTTCAATTTCTTACAATCTGAATTAGATTTTTGTTTGATACCACACTAGTATAAAATATGATAAGTCAAATGGGTAGGTGATCATGTGAACTGAAGATGGATAGTGAATGCTACACGTGACATAAAGAGAGGTTGAAATCAAATTGTCCAACTCCATCAATACATGAGGTTTTATCTGGTGATCGTAGTATCTGATCAATTAACCGAGTTCGTGAGTTTAAGTCCATTGTCACACATACTTGAATTAGACAAAGTTCTGTGAAGAAAATTGACATAAACCCACTTAAAAAGGTAAAACTAATTATTAAGGTTTGAACTTAAAGCTCTTATTAAAGTATGGAGTATTCTATATATGCTGAAAAAGCTGGCCACAACAAATATTCGAACCCAATGCCAAATTATATATAGCATCACTTTAATTTGTTTTGTGATTGATTTATAGATGCTGAACATCGACGTCACCAAATTTGTCATCATCAATGATCCAAATTTCATGTCGACGAAGGTTTTAATACAAGATAAGTGGTCGACTGAGACCCACCATTAATAGGGTATGGGATTTTTAAATAATATATACAGGATCTATGGTGAAACCGTGAAAGTAGCCAACTGTCTTCACACGCACACTTGTCTTTACGGTAAAATAAATAAAATTTAGAATTCTAGAATTTAATATTTTTGTTCATATATCTCTCTTTCCTAACAAAAGACTATCTAAAGAGCCATATGTCCCCGTTATAAATCACCATCAATCCAAGTGTCCTTTTACATAAGCTCTGATTTCTTTTCCCGCCCACTGCATCAAATAACAAATATCGGAAGTCAAGTCAAATATAGAAAGTCAAATAAAATCAACATGATAATAAAGGATACCGTGATTAGAGTGTGGGGTCATGTTTCCTTTACACGGTCAACTCCTAGGTTACGAGTTTTAATCGTTTCCTACGTATCTCTTCCGGTTTTCAAATTACTAATTTGAAGGATTAAATCATCCGTAATCGATTGAAACAACAATCCTTTCTCGATGTTGTTTTTCTTCACGTCATCTAGTCTGGGATCGATCACATCCTAGACGCCATGAATCCCGAGTAGCACCTCCATGCGCATTTTCCAAATTGTGTAGTTCGTCGATGTCAAAACCAGACATTGGAATGTATACGAAGTGTGTTCCTTAGCCAGTGGTTGCAACGATTCTCCTCCCGACACCGCAGTTCAATTTCTGATTCCTCCACATGAATCACAAAAAAAAAAAAATTCTGATTTGGATTTTTTTTGCTTAAAAAATAAACACAAACAGAAATAACGATTACTATGTCTTGATGATTTGTTTTTGCTTCAAAGGCCCAAAAAACGATCTTGGGTTGCAATAAAAGTTTCAGATCTCAACAAGGGCCCAAAATAAAAGAAAAACATGTTTATTTTTTCCTTTAGGGAAAAATACGTCTTCTCAAAACTGCAAAATTGATTCTTAAATCGCATTGGAGGAATCACTTAGGTGTTGTTTGTTTTTTGCTTGCAGATCTGCATGACCACTTCTGTCTGTGCCGCGCAGACCACGCGCAGATATATGTTATGGCAGACTGTTTGTTTTTCGGAAGTGCGCAGACCTAAAAACATTTGCGCGAGGTCTTCTTGGCACAGACATTGACCAATGTCTTCTAAGGTCTGCACTTTATACCTAAACAAAAAAAAAACACGCTTTATTTTTCTCTTTCAGAAGCAGCGCCTCCAACATCACCATTCACCATGGACGTCTCCCTCCATCGGTCTTCTTCAACATCTCGTCTCCTCCGTATGTAGCCGTCATCCAAACAGAACCGTTTCCGTCTTCCTCATTTTGTTCGATTTTGCTTATGTCGGCTCCTGCCGCCAGCCTCCTCGACTTGGTCGGACTCAGGCCCAAGCTCGCCTCCTTCTTCCCGCTATATATTTCGTTCCAACCTTTTTCCCCCGCCAGGTAAGTGCCTTAAACTTTTCTAGGGTTCATGAAATCAAATTTTCTATGGTTCATGAAATTGTCTTTTCTAGGGTTGGTGAAAACAAATGCTGTTAATTTTTGATGCAAACATGAAATCAGATGCCTTTTTTATGTAAACCCGAAATCAGATTCATCTTGTTAATTGTCTTTTGCCAAAATGCCCTTTTATATGCAATGATACAAAATCAGATTTGGCAGAGCTGTTATTTTTTTGACTGAAATGTCTTTTTTTTTTATGCAATGATATGAATTGCATGCTGTTTTTTTTGTTGCAATGCCTTATGATTGCTGAAATCAGGTTCCTTATTTGCTGAAATCAAGTTTTTATTTTTTATTTTTTTATGATTGCTGAACTTTGCTTTAATTGTTGTTATATGATTGCTAAAATGTTTTTTGAAATGTGTATGTTTGGTTAAATCTTATTAGGTTGGTGTTGTTAAAGATGAATCTTCATTGACTTCTTGTTATCTTTTTTGTTTTCTAGGACTCAAAGATCTCTCACAAGTAATGCAAACTTCAGATGCTAGTTCTAGGACTCAAAGATCTCTTAGAAAGAATGTAGACTCCAAATGCTACCAAAGACTCTAGTCAATTCATCTTATGTATTATGTTTACAAGTAAAACAGTGCCACTTTTTGGTGTTTTGAGAGTTATATTCAATGGAACTGTAATAAAAATGTAATTTGGCATCAATTTTAATCACCTTTAGATTATTGATCATTTTTTCAGTAAATGAGATTTGGTTTTACTTTTTTTTTATAATATTCAATTTTCAAAATGATCAACATTCTTGCAATGAAAAACACCCATGATCTTCAATATTATTAACTTACAAACTTTATCTAAGGTTTAACATGATAGTTTAATGTTGTAAAAAATAAAAAAATGAAAATATTATTGTAGTTATATGCATTATATTTCAATGTTATAAAACTAAAATGTTTTAATTTTAATGTTGAAAAACTCATTTACGTTTAACAAATTGGTTTATTTAAATTTCAATTTATTTTAGCAGTCTGCAGATGTTAAAAAACAAACAGTCTTCTTCTTACAGACTGCAGACTTTTGGTCCACCTCTTCTATTGCAGAGGTCTGCAGATGTGGCCCGCAGACTGCAGACCTTTTGACTCTAAAAAAACAAACAACACCTTAGAAGACATGGTAGACCTTGTGCTGCCAAGTGGCAAGAAATTAAGATTGAACAAGTTCAGTCCATATGAGTTTGAATTTGTCATAGACCTTGTCTTATGATAATGGTTGGAAATGACAGATTCACATGGATAGGAACACATATCCATAAAATCTAGTGACATACGGTTTCTCTCCACTTCATGAAAATGACTGTGAGGAAATGCTTTCACTAAGTAGATTTTAAAGAGTTAGCAATTGTGATATTTGCATTTTCAAATTCGATTATGATTACGGCATCCCTCTTCATAGTTCGAATTGTGAGAAATAGCAAATAGTTTGAACATTCGGAACTTATTGCTGTAAGTTCTGAAATAGTTTAGACACACATATGGGCTTTCTAATAAAAGGTGTATGAGCTTAGATAAAGGCTTATCGAAGCATCTCGTATCAGAAATCTGAAATTTGGTAAGAAAGTCAATAAAGTATTGATTTCTAGAAGTCCAACTGATTTTGGATGCATGTCAAAGCTAGTGGGAGCATAAGTGTTATGCTAGTAAGATAATAGTTATTATACTAGTGTGAGCATAATTATTATGGTAAGTGTTGCGAGTAAGCAATGCTATTTATAGGAAACAAAGTTCTAATTGCAAAGTTGTTTCGCTATAGTAAAGGAGAGGATACTTATACTTTATTTCGAATCTAAAAGATTAGATTAAAGTATTAATCAAACTTAGTCATGGATATATATGAATACCATGTTGAAATATTTCAACATTGGAAATTCTATATATGGAAATATTGTCGCAAAAGACTGGTCAAGTATCATGTCTTTATGTAAGACATTATGAATCGTGTCCCATATGCTTCGGATATAGGATCGATTGCATATGCTATAATATTCACGTGTTCTAATTTTCCAAATGCCTAGGGCATTAAGAGGGAAAAAGGACTCGAACCGGACATGACTAAAGTGGTTAAACAACTGTTAAGGACAATCTAAGGTTCGCTAAGGATTGATTGCTTAAGGACAGTTGGAGGTGTAGTAATCGATGGACCATATTGACATTATTATGAATAGACAAAATTCTATTAATAATGCATTGTCATATGGTAAATATAGAAATGTTTTCATAATGGGAGTTGGATATTAAGAATCTATGTATAGGTTAGAAACCTTTATGCAAGAACGATGTTTAAAGGAATGTAATTTGAATTTGAGACTTCGCTTCCTTGGAATTGTTTTTGTTGGAACCTGAAAGTGAACCTATAGTAATCCAGAAGTCTTTTGTCAAAACCGAAGTCAGCTGAATTTCCGAAGTGAAGACTGCTCCGGAATATGTTTGTGTCCGGAACCTGATGGGAAGTTGGTGATGCGAAGGAAGAAAGTGAAGGCATTCCGGAATAGACTTTGAGTCCGGAATGTGTGGTATTCCGAAATCAGTGTTTTGTCTTTACTCATTAAATGTATTTGTCTTTTGTTTGATTTAACTAGTCATAGGACTTAACTTTATTTGTCAACACGGATATTCAGAGTGTCAGATGTAACTCTTTTTTCCAATCCTATGTTTGTATTCGGTTAGTACCATGTTTCATGTACTCCTATTTATAGGAGCATTCAATGTTAAATCAATGTGTAGATTTATTCAAACTTTTTAGC